ACTTAGCTGAATTTTATTTCTTGAATCCTAAATTTTCTGGTACCAGACGGAGGAAAAACAGGGAAAGAACGAGGTTCCGCAACCCAGAAGCAGCAGCAAGTTTAAGAAGGCTTTGGGAGGAGTTTTTGTTAACTTAAGGCTGCAGGAAGGTAAGTTCTAGTAATTGTTTAACTTAGACTTAAGAGTTGGAATTAAAATTTACAGTTTGATAGCAACCTTTGCATCACACAGCAAGTAGAGTTTAAAATGAAGATTTGCAGACATGCAATGCTGTTGTGTGTGAATAAAAGAAAGGAACTTCCTCTGTTGATAGTTTCTTCTTGTCTGCACTTTCTGAAGTTTTATTTCAAGTTGATTTTCTAGTTGAAAATCTGTACTGTTTGGCTCTTTAATCTTACTTGTACAGGGGATGAACATTCAACTAGTATGAAATGCATATGCATTACATGAGATGAGAATGCATCATTTTACATGCTGCATAGAATCTATGGTATGATACCTAAGCTAATGGCTAGGTAAGATACTCCTAAATTTACCTGGAGTAAAAGAATGATGATGCTCCTAACGTAATTGGAGTAAAGAAAGAAGATATCTAAAATGATACTTGAGCTACTAAGCTAGGTAAGAACTCCTAAAGAACCTGGAGAAATGAAAGAAAGATATTTAGATCCACTGCACAGTAGGAAGAACCATGGCTAGTCCACTGGCACGTGGGATGTACACCCACAACGAAAAATCCATAGATAAGAACATACATTTATGTGAATATTTTGACAAGCATAGAATTATCTTGTTGCTTTGTTTTTCTTATAATTCTTAAGTAATGATTTTCCTGGAGGGAAATCTCCTATTTAACTGTTCAGTGCTAGTGAACAGAACTTGATGGAATTGGCTCTGCTCGGTAGAGCAGATTGTGTTTCAGCTTAGCACCAAAAATTGGTTTGATTACCTTTTAAGTTGTGAAAGTTAAGTTACATATTTTACTAGGCTTACTGAGCTTTACAGCTTATGGAATTATTATTTCCCTGAGGTTACAGGTAGAAATTAACTACAGGCAGCATACACATTTCGGGAGCCTAGGAAGCATCTGTTAACCCAAGTGCAGGCCCAGAGCCAACGTTGGTAAGACAAATTTGAACTCTGCCCCAAACCTAGACTTGGCTCACTGTTTGATCTAAAAAGCTATGTACTAGATGTAAAGAAACATCAAGTGCTGCTGTAAGTGAAACTATGGGTTTTTGTACTGTGCAGTTTGTACATAGAACTATA